AATTAAAAGAAGGGGCCTTGTCAACTCGTATGACAAGATGAACTTAAAGACTTTCATGAATTTTTGTGTGAGCAGGTAAGAACCTCACACATTGAAAATCTGATATCTAGCTTGTTATAATTATTTTTTTTAATTTAAATTTCTCCTCCATCATTTTCCAGGAGAGCCCTGCTGATTTTACAAGAGTCGCCGTACCCTCGATAAATTATTACGCACAAGTCATTTGGGAATTCATGAAAAAGATAGAGAGGAGCAGTCTCTGCTTGGTATTATCCGCTGACTCCGACGGAGAAGCGCTTGCTGACTCGATGGCACGAATGGCAAAAGACGAGAAATGGTTGATTAAAGAGATATTCTGGCTTGCTGGAAGTAGCTCGCTCTCAATAGAAACCGAGATAAAGTCTATTATTTCACAACAAAGCGATGTTGTCGTCGTACACAGCAGGGATAAAGACAATGAGCCTTTGTTTCGAGCAATGAAAAAGTTCAATGCGACTGGCACAATATGGATTTTAACTCACATAACAGAATACGGAATATCACATCTTGATGTTCTTCCCGCTGGCTTGATTAAAATAAACGCAAGAAAGAGAGAAGTGAACCTCGATGATACCTTGTATTCGGATGCCATTTACGACGCCTTTCTTCTGTTTCAAACTGCATTTGAGAGGGCGCAAAGAAAAACTCCATATCAGATCGAAGAAGAAGATGCATGTTTTGAGGCAAATACAAGCTCAAGGGAAATACAGGATCTATTCAAGATGTAAGCCTTGAACGACTAATTTTATCCATTTAACATCTATCTTTAGCATGAATCGCTCAACCGATTTTTGGCACGTGGGTGTTTCGAAGGCAACAGTTGAACTGTGTAATCGTTCGATTGCAATTCATGCAACTTAGGACTCAACAGACGAAGGAAAACGTTGTCGACAACTTCTATCACCGGCCATCAGCTATCACCCACCAGAGACGGGTTAGATCAGTGCTAAAAATCAGTTGTGATCTAATGCGGGAACAAACTTTTGTGTGCTTAATTTATATTTATTAAGAGCCCTTTAAGTTTTGAAGTCGAATGAATGTTGAAGCCAAGAGAGACTGCGGATCTTAACCGTTAGTTTTATGGCCAGCTTTCGCAACATTTTCGGTGTAAAAATGATATAATTCCTCAGAAGTGCTGAGCTCAGTCTTTGCGAATTGCTGTCAAGCATTCGATCGAAATCATTCAATGATTTCGATCGAATGCTTAAAAAGTAAAGTTTACGCCATTAATCTTCCATATAGCTCTTCGAAGACTTGCGAGGCGTCTACGTCGCTAAACAACCTAGAGGATCTGCAATGATGTGGGTGTCAGTTTAACAAATAGATTCCATGTTGCCGTGCGACTTTTCAGTAATAGTAAAAGTAGCACACAAAGCGCGATAGCCGAGTGTGTCACTGATGTTCTTACCACATTTTGACGTCTTCTGTGATCTATTACAGAACAGACGCACGGCAACGTGAATTCTATCTGTTTTACATTAGAAAAAAAAGAAAACCAAAAAGTCAATGACGTCTTCTATACATCTGTCCTCCAGTAGCGAGAATAATCTGACTTATTATATAATAAATGGTAGATGCTTAATTTCTCAGTTCTCAGCTATCGCTAAATTCTGCGAATCTCAAACCTCATGTTAAAAAACATGGCTTCCACAGCAGGTAAAAATTTGGATAATCATATATCAGCTCTCACTTAATTATGAACCCTATCCAAACCTTCAACCACCAAATATCTTTCCATACCTAATATTCTCAAATTAAAGTGAATTGGTATGCATCGCTAATCTCACAAAACGTAAAATTACTGAACCACAACCGACAGTATTCTAGATAAATGTTGCAAACCTTGCTAATGACTTTGTGCTATTATTATTCTTGCACGAAAGACACCTACGAGAGACATTCATCGAAGGAAGAAGCTCTATGTTTGTGAAACCTGCTCTGTATGAGAAATCAGAGACTACCTTTGAAATATGGAACCTTCGACTCGATGTGAATGGGGCCAAACACTGGACCCTCATCGGACTAAGCACACGGACAGGTCTTGCTCTGGACACCTTCATGGGCCCTTATGGAAGTGCCATCACAGCACCAACTGTACCAGTGACCCACACTTTACGCGTGCCCATAAATGAGTACCGCCCTTGGGTCCAGGTTGAGGACCCTCGGTTGGACGGTCGTGGAATGCATTATTGCACTGGAAGGAGCCAACTTTGCTACAAGTTTCATAACTCAAGTCGGATCAACAAGACTACGCTTTGCTGTTNAATGCATTATTGTACTGGAAGGAGCCAACTTTGCTACAAGTTTCATAACTCAAGTCGGATCAACAAGACTACGCTTTGCTGTTTTGGCGTCTCCATTGATTTGCTTGTCATGATGCAGAAAGAACTGGGATTTCACAGCGAAATCTACTTCACGCCAGATGGGAATTACGGCGACTTTGACAAGGAGAAACAAGCGTGGAATGGAATTGTTCAAGAAGTGTTATCTGGACAGGCGGATCTTGCCATCGACATATCGATGAATGCTATTAGACAAGAGTATCTTGACTTTGCACATCCGTTTATTCACCTGGCTTTAAACATATTGGTTTTAAAGGATCTAGAAGCTAATGAAGGTTAGAACGATTGCCTATCTCCAAACCTATCTCGTCTGACTCTTAGAGCTCACATCTTTCTTAAAAAAAAATGTGGAGAATTTTGATTACTGTTTGTTGTTAAGGTGCGGTTTAACCTTGGAGCCTAGTTTGAAAAAATACTCCTTTCTTACTAAAATACTCCAAATTATCGACATAGGGAAAATACGGAGACAAAAAGGAGGAAAAACATTGAACTTATTTATTAAGACTGAGGGTCGCGTCACAAGATTGACTGTTTCTAGACCCTTTTGGGATTTCCCACACCACAGAAGTGAGTTTAAATAAGAATTGATGAGTGAATACATCAGGAATAAGGCCTATAAAGAGGATTAACTCCCTCACTTTTCTTCCCCTCGGCTCTTGTAAAGCACCTAAAAACCCGACCTGCAGTAGATTATAAACACACAGAGTGACGTTCGGAAACCATTCCGAGAATGTAAACTCAATATGGGCCCAAACATTTAAGTAAATCACTTTCCATCTTTGGTATTGGGGAATCGCAATTTGTCGTCTCTGACTACTCTGCGAACGCAATCGTTTGCATTAGAGCCCTTCATCTGACACCTCACCTGACATCTGTCATTTGAAAACCTATTCCAGGGAAAAGCAACTGATTCAACATTACCACAAACAACGAGAGATGTTACGCAACACTTATTAAAAAATAGACGGGGGAAAAATTAACGCTTTATGATCATGAACACTGCTAGAGCTCAGCTGGTTAAGTACAAAAAAAGAAGTTGTCAGTAGTTCGTATAGTGTGATCGTCCGGGGTGAGGGTAGTTCTGAAAAGAACCGAACACGTCAGTAGCTAAAGCAGATTAATTTTGTTGTGCAGATATTCAGTGGAACTCATGGCTGGAGCCGTTTCAGTATCAACTGTGGTTCTCCATCCTTGGATTCATTAATTTTATTTTAGTCGTGATCTGGTGGATTGACAGGAAAAGTCCCATGGGGCACAGAATGAAAATGGACAGCGAAGATGATGGCTTCACGCTATTGGGTATGAATCGCATCTCATTTCGTTTTTTTTTTTCTTTCTCATTGCATCACTTCTTTTCCAGGGTCTTTACGTTATGTTGGATATCACACTCATCATATGATAGAGAATGGGAGCTAGTTTGGCTTGAACATGAATGCGTCACTTTACAAACTTGATTGAGATCGAGAATTAAGTCATTGAAACTTTCAACGTTAAAAGAGTTATTANCCGCCCCCACCGCCCCCCCTTCCCACCCCCCTCCCCTAAAAAAAAGAGCAAGGCGAGATATTTTTAACGTATCTATCCCCAAGATAATTTATGGCTTTCTGTTCTTTCTTTTCCGAAGATCCGACACCCGTCCCTTGCTCCACCCAAGGGTTTTAGGCTTGGAATTCAGAAGGATTCTCAAGAGGCAAGCTACTTCAAATTTCACAGCGAGAAAATATTTCGAGAGATCTACCATGTAAACCTGAAGGTCAACTTCATAAAGAATTTTGCAGATGGCCTTGAGAAGCTCAAAAACAGGTCAGGAATACATATCAGGGAGTTTTAGCAACTGGGCCGGGTGTTTGTAAGCCAGTTAACTCTAACCCAGGATTAAACGTTGACCGAAGTTTTAAATGTTCCTGTTTAAAAATATTTTTCACTTCCTATGTTTTGAGAAGTTTGAGATTACTCAAGCTCAAAACTGAACGACAAACAACATCAACAGAAAACCTCACCTAAAAGTTGAAAAACTGAAATGAAATTTCTCACTTATCCTGGGTTAGCTTAATCAGGCTTTGAACAACCCGGCCCAGAGGCAGGGATAACAAAATGCTATGAGTCTCCAAGCTTTTTTCCCCCTAATTCTGGTACATTTCTAAGAAATCTAGGATGTCCGCTGTTAAAGATTTCATCAATATTAAATCCCCAACTTCTGCTAACCCTAGAGAACATGAACCGTAGCTGAGAGAATTTTTTCTTGTTTCCGTTTCACGGCGGGAAGACGAGAGACCCTGGAAACGAGGCTGTGTCAAATGTTTCTCCAAGATGCCGTCTGCGCTGGACTGGATTCAAGTACTATGCTATAAGTCCCTTGCGAGGATTGTTAATAAGGAAGTTTTTTTTGTTTCTCTCGGTACCACTTACATTGTTCTAAGTTTCTCAGTACATATTATTGGGTTTTATTTAGATGGCACAGGGGTAGCGCTCGTTTTCATTGAGAGCACTCGCTTTAATTCTAACCAGTGGCGCCCGGGTTCGAATCTCGCATCCGGCGACCTATCTGAGTTAAGTTTGTTTATGGTTCTCTTATATTTTAACGGCCATTGTTTAACTGCATCCAATCAGACAGATGCCAGGGAATAGCGATTTCCCTCCGGCACAACTTTTTGTAACTACGCATTCTGACGGCTTGGAAATTTTCGGTCCTGGGTTTTGTTCGAAGGCTAGTAATTGGCCGTTTGGATGAATTTCCGATTGAATGATACAAGAAGATTCGCGGAACTTTCCTCTTTTCTGCTGTTTTAATTAGTTTGGAAGCCGAGCGATGGGATTTTTACGGTGGAAAACCGCCTCGGCGCTGGAGCTGTTGCAGTTTCGAGCCGTTGAACTTTCCACCCTATTATTATCATATGAATAGTAAACAGCGAATGTAAACTGAATCCTTCAAGCCTGCTGAAATTGGCAATTTTGAGCCAAGAGAACGACAGTACCCCATAAAAAAGATACCTTTACTTTTATTGAGCAACTATTTGTTCATATTCTCGTGATTTTATGCAATTCTGCGAAGTGTTCTGTAAATCCCATACATTTGCTAACAAAATATTTGTAAATGTGCACAGCACACAAACGGTTTGCCTGGGCCCCATGTGCTCTTAGAAGAAAACGCCTTGTACAGTTATACGTTCGGCCCAAAACATTGGTTATTGTTTCCTCATAACTCATCCCCTCTATGAGTTGCGCACGCAGGGAATCATGGTACAACTATCACGATTCCTAATAGGGGGAAATGGGCCATTCTGTAAAGTAATTTGCTAGACATTTATTTGTAACTATTACCGTCTTTTGCAGGGAAATTAATGGCCTAGTCGGAGATTATCTCTCACTCAGCCAAGTGGCTAACAACGACGAAAACTGCTCATATAGTCTTGCCGGGCCAAACTTCTTTAACTTTGGACTGGGACTCGCGCTACAAAAAGGGTCGCCATGGTTACAAGACGTCAATCAAGCGGTGTTAAAGCATCAAGAGAACGGCTCGATTCATGCCATAGAGAGTCGATGGTTCAATAAAAAGAGCTGCGATTTGAAGCCATTTAACCGGCTCGGGATCATAAATTTCAGTGGTTTGTTCATGGCAGTAGTCATCGTAATAGCGTTCTGCGTGTTTGCTGTTTTCGTGGAGGTTTGCGTTATAATCGTTATGATAAAATTCGGCGATAAGCTCGGAACGCTTGGAAAGTTCACCAAAAGGTTCGTTTTCAATGTCAAAAAAGGAGAAGAAGACCAACTCAACACGCAGTATTCATTTCTACTGAGACGTCATCAAAATGCAAAATGGAACGTCGCTGCCAGTCACGTGGCATCCACAGACTTAGAAGAGCTTGGTTTCCATAACAACCGATATTCCTTTCCCCAGGAACAAACAATGACTCTGGCAGATATAAACCGCAACGGGACAATTCATCATAGGTCACATGGAAACGGCGATGTTACAATGAATGGAGTCGCAGTTAAAAAGAAACATGAACACACGAATGGCAGAACTAAGAACTCTGAACTAAACGGGATGGTGACAAAACTTTAAACTTTTGAAATGCCATGTTTTCTAGAAAATAATATGCCAAATAATAATACTAACTGTGCATTGTTTTATAGGAATAATATTTTATGCATTTGGGTTTTGGCATCAGTTACAATCGATATCACTCTCCAATTTGGAATCCTCTTGATACAAAGTTTCGTAACTTTCGAAATAGGGCAAATCGCACGAAAATTTCCTTGGACAATTTCCAGAAAATAACTAAATTGTTGAATTCCCGATATGCGAACCATTCAACCCAACCTTCGAAAATTTCGGGAGGAAAATTAACGGATATTCCCGGTAGAAATCTTCGAAAATTTGGATATAGCTCGTCAAGTTGTCCACTTTACTGGAAAATTCCGGAAAATATTAACGTTCTTCCATTCGCGACGAGTGAAGAGCACTTATCCTCTTTAAAATTCGTAAATAGTGACTTTTTTTTACTAAAACCTTTCTATTTAATGTGAATATCAGTCTAAAATTAGTATAGAGTAGCACTGGAATCTTATTTATATAGTCTTGTATTTTCATGTAATTCTTCTTTCAACCTTTACATATAAAATAAACTTTTTTTTAATATCTGCAGGCATCCCACGAAGCCACAAACACAACAAATCTCAACAGCAAAACGCCAGTTTAGGCTGATTATCACCAGCGCATGAGCACAAGTCGACATAACATGGTGATAGAGCCTTTTGTTATGAAAATTTCCCTCTAACAAAAAGCGCTATCTAGCAGCACCTTACTGCGACTGCGTATGCGAAAACCATCCTTTAGTTGACACCATGCGTGCGCGAAACTAACCATGTTTTAAATGGGGAGCTTACGCGCTTTCGTTCTATCCTCGGGAAAACATTTAAAGATGTCAAAGACGGCGTTCAGTTACAAATCGAATATATTGATATTCACGTCCTCCAGGAAGTACAAAACAAAAACGTGAACTGACCAAGTTCCGCGTATTTTGGAGCTAAACGCGAACGAAAGAAAGTACCATTTTAACACGTACAAAAAAAATTCTTATTGCAACTTTAAAACGTCTTTCAAGTCTCTGAAACTTGTGCTGTACTACTCTTGGTTATGATAAACGGAAATATACACTGTACAGCTGGTTTTACAGCTTATTAACTTGAGCAAACGTAGTATTGTTTATAGAGTAGTGTTTTCACGATAAATTAAATCCCAGTCAGTTCTCTGACGAACTCGATTATCTGTGTGCTCGGGTAAGGTTTTTATCCCTTAAAAACAAATTGGTTGCCGACATTATTGGCGTTCTGTACTTCTCATCGAGAAAATGTTTTGTGAGAGGACATTTTTTTAATCAGTTAGAACATTTCCTGTTCCATCGGTTTACTAACCCACGGACCGTACCTCGAGGATCTAAAATGATCGTACAGTTTCTGTTTGGCTTCTTGGAAATCGGTGGCCATCTTCTTAGCGTCGCGGTAAGTTTCAACATCCACGAGTTCTGGACGGCCAGCTTTGGCACCAATCTCCTTGAACGACGCATAAAGCGCGGCCTTGCAGATACGCGAGGGCGTGGGACTGTTCTGTGTTCGTGTCATACACGCTCCCGTACGCCCATCAGTCACTTCAGTGCACGTGTCTCCAATGGACCAATTGACGCTGAGGTTGTTGGTCTTTTCTGTCTCGCGTGGAGGCTCGTATGCCGTAACACGACCAAGCCACGGGTGGTTCACGTGATATGGGGCTGGCAGCTGGGTGTCGAGGTTATTGTTGTGCTGAAGGCGACAGCAAACTGCACGTGAAAGATGACCGTGATCATACAAGTAGCCCAGAGTGAGCGATGCCAAGTAAACGGGATCAATAAAGTGACTCAGGAGAGCGCCTTGAAGTCCAAGGGCATTCCAGCGGCATATTTTATCACTGCACGACATGGTGCGCAATTTGTTTCCACGTAAGAGCCCGTCCCATGTTTGAATTCTGTCGGAGGGGTCAATTGGAATAGTGCCCTCACCATCTTCAATCTTTGTTCGTAAGATGCCCTGTTGCTTGGTAGTGAATGTAGGATTGTGCTCTGTTGAGTGCTCTGACATGTCCGTGTTGGGTTCCTCACGGGGCGTAAACAAAGCACCATCTCCGCAAGGAGCTGTACTGATGTATAGATGAAATGACACATCCTCACGGACAACGAGCCTCCGAGAGCCTTTGCTCAGTGCGAAAATGGATTCTTTCCCATCGTAATAACTGCTTAGTTGTCCGTAGAAGAATCTCAAAAGAGATCTCCGAGCCACTATTTCGGCGTGAGAGTCATTTACTGCCTTTCCTTCCATGCTCAAACGCTTACCTGTCACGCATCGGTTACCAGTCCCCACGGCAACCACTCGACCAGAGTGGTCAGCGCCTGTTTTCATGATGATACACGCCACGACCTTCCTCCCAGCGAACTTATCGGAAATTGACGCCGCGATTTGCAGAAATGTGTGATGTGAAAGTGCAGCTATGAGATCGAAGTGTGTGCGGACTTTGCTCAAAACGCTTGCAGGGGGGTCAGTAATGTTCAAGGGCGACCCCTCCTCAGCACCCAAATTTGCACTCCCGCCAAGCAATGTCCTCAGTGCGACATCCGCTGCCTCGCGTCTGGCATCTTTCATGTTTCGTGCTTCTGCTGCAGGGAATAGCTTTCCATTGATCTTAGCGGCAATCGCGAAGGCACGGCCTTGGCTGACGGTCTGAAATGTCAGCTCCATCTTGTTTTTCTGCACATACTCGTTGAGAGCACTGACGGGATTCTTGTTGATGGCGGCATAAGCAACACTGGAGAGTACATCTGGAAGGTTGTTGCTGGACATGGGGGAAATAGTTAGGGCTGCAGGTGGTAACTGTGGGCTGGACATGTAGCTCGCAGGAGCAGGCCGTGGTGGTTCAAAGAAACTCGACTCTGCTCTAGGAGGTGATGTGGAAGACTGTCTCTGTTCAGCATGCCTCTTCACGCCTAGGTGTATTTGTCCTTGTTCATCGGCATCAGGGTGATGTCTCTTCTGAGCAGATTCACTACAACCAGATTCAGCTGCTTTTGAACCTTGAAAAGTCAGCGAGCTTACTTCTTGTCGCACTTTCCAGGTCGGAGGATGATCGTGCATTTTGTAAATCAAGCCTAATGTCTGCAGTTTGTAGAGAGTTGGATTGATGTCCTTCTTTCTATGGAAACCAAACTGTTGGGCCAGACGTAGTGTTTCACACGATTTCCTTTCCCGCTTCATAAAGTCCAGTACTTTTGTTTCAAGATCACTCAGTCTTGAAGCTCTTTGAGGTATAACGGCCATAGGACTCTTGCTGGAAGTGGGCACTGCTTGGGGACCTCGATTAACCAGGTTTTGGAAAAGATGTGCGGAAGGAGGGGGTGGAAGCCTGGAATTTCCCGGCTTGGAGGAATTGCCAGATGAACCTTGACCAACGAAAGGAGCTCTTGCCTGTGGCAATTGGGTTGTATCTGCTGGAGTTGGTCCATATGTATTATGACGAGAATGATTCGTTTGTAGTTGCATGTGTCCTTCAAAGTTTGCCCTGCTTGACTGGCTGGAGACAAATGCGGCTTCATCCTTCTTTGAAGGTGCTGCAGGTATTTCTTTAGGATTCCCCGCTTTAGAAATCTGGTTTTGTCGAACATCATTTTGGCGAACAGAACCAAGCAATGGTGGCATCATCTTGGTTGGATCGCAATCTAATGTTTCACGATCTATCAAGGAAGCTGAG